GAAGGAAGAGGACATTTCAGCAGTGAGACGTCCATACGTCCGTCCGGGATTACAGACTACCCTAGACGGGCAGGGGGCCCACGGGGGGGAGCTGAGGTGTGGGCTGGACGTGGCTCAGCCACTCAGAGATGCCTGCTGTCCTCACTAGCATGAGTTATACATCCTGAACCTCCTCCACCCACACTGAGTGAAGCTTTCTCTTCCAGACTCCTTTCTAAAACTCTAATTGAAAATGTAATATATGCACATTGGTTTTTTTTTAAGTTAAAAAGTACAAAATACTATACAGTTAAGAATGTCCCCTTCCTACCCGAACCCACAACCCCACAGCCCTCCCACTCAGAGATAGCCAACAGGCATTACAAGCTATTCTTATGTGTCTTCCTAGGTGTGTTCTAGGCATCATTTCATATTTTAATACGAGTGGGAGCACTGCTTTTGCTTTTTTGCTGAGTATTATATTTTGGAGAACACTCCATATTTGCATTGACACATCTACCTGTTTGGATTTTTTCTTTATGCTTATTCTTTTTCAAATCTGCACTTTTTTTATTGTATTCTTTCCCATTACCATTTGTCCTCTTTGTACCCTCTTCCACCTCCCCCTGCCCTCTGCACACTGTGCTCAGTATGGATACAGCACTAATTATTTAATCAGATCCCTTCAGGCAGGGAGCTCCATTTTTTCCAGTCTGGTGCTATTGTAAGCAGTGTCATAAGAAACATCTATGTACATCCCTCCTTCTTTCTTTTTTTGAGGTAGGAAATCATCTCACCTCGTAGAGTGGGAGCCCCCAAAACCACCTTCAGGCTCTAGCCTTTTTTTCAAACCAGGCAAAGGGACAGAAAAGCTGAGTTCTGGTCCTGGGTCAGATGTTAACGCCCTTGGCGCTCAGACACCCTTTGCTCCAGCCCTCTGAATGACTCAGGTCCCGGCTTACCGGACAGTGATCATCGTACCTGCTTCGAAGTGCCTCACACGGACATTCTGGGGATCGGATGAGACCATGTGTGTGGAAGCGTGTGAGTGCTGTACTAATGGACAAGTCTCTCCTCCGGTTATTTGCCAGACCCGCAGTTGACAGGTTGCTCTGTGAACGTGCCCACCACCTTCAACGTGGGGCCTGCTGCACACCATGCCTCTGTGAAGGGAGACCAACCCCGCACGCAGCTCCTGCCCTGGACAAGCCCAGGCTGCTGCGCACTGCACCATGGGTGCCTGCCTTCCCCACCTTTCTTCTTCCCCACAGCCAGCTGACCGCTCTGGACACCTTCCCAGTGGGTAGTTGCCCTGTGGCTAGAACGAAAGGCTCTGCCCAAACAGAGGGAAACCAGGTCATTCTGATTCTTGCCATTGGAAAAGTCTACTGGGAAACAGAGTTAGAACAAACACAACCCAGAATGCACAGAGAGTGGCCACAAGGTCAGGGCTGGGAAGCTGAAGTTACAAGGAAGCTGAAATTGGGAGGAAGCAGAAATCCCACATACCCTGAAGCTATGAGGCAGGGAAATGTTGGGAAGATTATGTTGGTGGGAAGTGAGAGGATACGGAGCAGCAGCACCACCACCACCAGCCGAGGGGCAACAATGGCAAAGCATTTGAAAGCACACCAGCCCCAGCTGCCAAATCCAGCACAGTCCTCAGGCACCCAAGTCCATGCCCTGTCTCCATGGTTCTCTCATGTGGCCTTACCACAAGGTCCCTTTCTGTGGGCTCAATGGGGGAGGGGGACTTTTTCCATACTGCCAGGAGGGCCAAACCAACCCAAGACTTATGAGACCTGCCTTCCCAGCTTCCTGCAGGGCCCCCTAAAGAACAGGTGTACGAGTGTTCCACCCTGGAGCAGGGGAAATGAGAATCCTAAACTCCATTTTGCATTAGAGCACATTGGTTTGCTTAATGAACTAATGCAGTTTTGTGGAGGCCCACCTCCTAGGGAAAGGGCAGGGTGGAGAAGGGTGGAGAGCAGAATTGGAGAGGCAAATGGATAACAATGATCAGTTGAGACTCTGCCCACATTGGTACTTCCCTCTTGCCCAAATCTCCCTCACCCTTCATGTCACTGATACCAAACACAGGTCTGGCTGCCTGCTGCTTCAAAAGCCAATACTCAAGAGACAGGAGCTGGTGTAAGGAGAGATGGTCTGTTCAAGTGCTGACCACATGGGAAGATGGGGGGCTCTTGGCCCAAAGCCCATCTCCACCTCTCAGTGGAGGCAGAAGTTTTTGTAAGGAGGGCGAGGGGAATAGAACAAAGAAATCAAGGGAGGGGGTTGGAAAGTTCTGTACGTGCAGACCAGTGCAGACCATTCTGATTAGGACCTTGGCACTGGTCAAGCGATGGTCTGGTGTGTGTCATTCTTGTTTTAGGGTTGAAGGTCAGCAAGTCTCCTGGAGGTGAAATGCCTGAAGGTTGGAGTCTGTATCTTTTGAAGTTCATTCCTAGACTTCTTATGCAAACATGCTGTTCATCTACAAGCTACGTAAGAGTCAGGGTCAGCACCTACAGAAACAACACCAAAAGCATAGTGGGGTGGGTCACATCCCCACTGCTTACATCACCTCATCCCACAGACTTTCCTGGTACTGCTCCAGCCATACCAGCACCGGCACCAGTGTTCTTGGCCATGACAACAGATTGCCTTTTGGGCCCCAACTCTTCATCCTGTCTCATAGCTACAGTTTTTGTCCTAGGTCTTTGCAGTTCCTCCCACTAAGGGAACAGAGTAAATTACATTTCACCATCCTTTGACTTTGGATTTGGCCATAAAAACATCTTATATTATTGGCCAAAAGGGATGGCGTGCCAGTTCCAAGACCTCTTGTGCTATTTTCAATGCAATGAAAAGAGCGTGCCCAGGTTAGCCCAGTGTTCCCAAAAAGAGGGCAAGGGACGTGTGGGACAAGGCCGCCTTGGCCAAGCCTCCTGGGTGAGCCCAGCCAAGATCAGCCAGCTCTCAGAGCCCGAGCTAAAGACGTGTGTGTTGCTGTATGCCACTGAGGCTTTGTGGTCGTCTGGCATACGGCTGAATAACTGCCCACAGCACTTACAGTACATTTCTCTACTCGGTGACTCAGATGGCAGCTTGTTATTTCTTTGTTTCTGTGAGCAGGCTAGAACGGCCAGATTTGGTGACTGAACATATAGGATCCCCAGTTACACTCGAATTTTAGGTAAACGATGAAAAATTTTTGTGTAAGTGTGTCCCATGTGATTTTTAGAATGTCTCTGTACTAAGAAGTATTTATCCAAGGGCATCCTGTATCTATTTGACAACTCCTGGCGCTTCAGGCAGGATCGGCAGCTCACACAGGAGCTGTGGGAGGGTCCCCATGGTCACTACCACGTGCTGGGAGAGGGAAGTCAGGTTAGAGGTTTGCCAGAAGCCGGGTCTTGAGCCCTTTCTTCTCTCCAGCGACAAGCCCGCCCCTTCTAGTAACAATATGATGTATCGTTCACCTAGCCCTTGTGTAGGCAGGTAGTGGGCAAACACGCATCTTATTTTTACACCAGTGCTATAATGCAGGGGAGTAGCTAAGCCCTTAACCCCTCTACAAATACAAATAAGTAGACAGCTAGAGAGAGTAGCCAAGTGAGAGTTCAAACACAGCCCTTTCTCTTTCCATAATACGGCCCTGCCTCCAACTACCAAAAATGTTTGAGGTCATTTTCACAAAACTGAAGACAGTGAAGTGTATTCCCCAGCCACCCCCATCTCTTTGCTGGCCCCCCTCAATCCACTCAGTGAATAATGGGGGCTGTATTAATATGCTGGGGCTGCTGTAACCAAGTACCACAGACTGGGCGGCTTAAACCACAGAAACGTATTTTCTCAAGTTCTGGAGGCTGGAAGTCTGAAATCTAGGTGTCAGCTGGGTTGGTTCCTTCTGAGGGCCGGGAGGGAAGGGTCTGTTCCAGGTCTGTCTCCGTTCATGTGTCCACTGGACTGAGCCACGGGCTGTCCAAACGTGTGGTGGAGCACCACGTCTGGGTGTGCCGGGGAGGGGGTTTCTGGGGGAGACTGGCCCTGGAACTGGCGGGCTGAGTGAAGCGGATGGCCCTGCACAGTGCGAATGGCCATCACCTGACTCTTCGAGGGCCCGCATAGGAAAAAAGGTGGAGGAAAGCTGAACTGGTTCCATCAGCCCGGCTGCTTGAGCCAAATATCGGTCTGTTCCTGGCCCCGGACTGAGACCTGTCCCAGCAGCCCTCCTGGCCATTGGGCCATTGGGCCCAGGCTGGCTCTCTGGGGTCTGCACTTGTAGAGGGCGGGCGGTGCCACTTCTCAGCCTCCAGAGTCACACGAGCCTTATAACAAAGCATGTGAATAACACACACACACACACACACACACACACACACACACACACTGTCCTACTGTTCGGTTTCTCTGGAGAGCCCTGGCTCATACAAAGCCTCTCTCCTCGGTTTATAGATGGCCCTCTTCTCCCTTCTCTTCATGTCACCTTCCTTCTGGGCATGTCTGTGTCCGAATTTCCTCTTCTTGCAAGAACATCAGTCAGACTGGGTTAGAACCCACCCTGATGACCTTATTTTAACTTCTTCACCTCTGTAAAGACTCCATCTCCAAAGAGGGTCTAAGGTACTGGAGGGTTAAAACTTCAATATGTGAGTTGGGGGTGGAGAGGACACAATTCAGCCCATAACAGGGTTTGTGGGACTCATCGTAAGTCATCTGCATACAGTTTGCATCTAAAAGAGGACCCCAAGGGAGTAGATTTCAAAAGATGGGGTTCTAGATTTCAAGTGGTGGAATTCTAGTCTTCAAAGCAGCCCTTAGGGGTGGCAGGGGCCCCTCCTACAGTTAACAATGGCACCTCGGAGGCATCACAACCTCTGCCAAAGGGGCCCTAGCAACCAGTAGAATGCGGGTTATTGTGAGGACAGGGGATTGTGATGGTGGAATCTGGTGAGACCAAATGTTAGTGCCTCAAGAGATGTCCCTCGGCCCCGGTGGGCAGCACCGTGGTTTTCAGGATGACATCAGAGGACAGGGAGACGATGGAAGCCCGGGGGGCGGGAGAAAGCTGCCCAGCCATCCCCAAGATGGCGCCCGATGACCCCATGTCTGAAGGGAAGTCGAGGGCTGCTTTGGTAAGGGGGGTGGGAGCCTCATCTCACCGCCCCAGCCTGTCCCCTCGTGGGAGGGAAAGTGCTGTGGGGACGTGGGACAGGGGCCGAGTGTCGTGAGTTTCCAGTTGCCGAGAAGAAGAGGGGTGCTGTGCACCCCATCCCCACACTGGCACCCAGCTGCAACCAGGGGTCAGGGCCCTTTGCAAGGTCATGAGGCCACTTGGTGCTGACTTGGGTCTCTCCCATCCACCTCCCTGTGTGGGGCCCTTTCCTCTGTCTGCGGATGGCACCCAGCTCCCCCACAGCCCTCCGCTGGTCCCCATAGCTTTAGGCTCTCTCAGCACAGACTCTAGGTGTCTTCCTCCCACTGTAGCTCCTGGGACAGTGGGGTGCCTAGGTCTTTTCAGAGTTAGATGGAGTGGGGCTGGGGAAGTTACCTCCATGGTGATTTGAAAATCGCTGGGAAGAGAGCCTGCTGCCTCAACTCCCAAGCGCCTCCTCTCTCACCTTAGGGTTTCATTCCTATGTGGCAGCTCGCCCTCTCCTTCTTTGCTCAGTTCCTGTAAGTGCTTTGCTTATAAGAGCTCAGCCTCAGTCTCTACAGCTCACAGCAAACACTGGTTCAAACACAGCGGCCCACTGCAGCCCACTGCAGCTGGGGCTCTGGCAGTGCCCTGGGGTGGGAATGGGGGCAGCCCCCACACTGACTGCTGGCCACCCCTCAACCTCCCCCTCCCCGCCTCAGGAGGCAGAGCCCCCTAAGCCAGACTCTTCCTACGACTACCTGGAGGAGATGGAAATTTGTGACGACAGAGGCTGCTCAGAGCCACCTAAATTGCCATCCCCTAAGGCTGGCCCCACCACCAAGGGCCAGGCGGGTGATGGGCCTGAACTCACAGAGAAGCCCCTGGCCCCAGGGACCCAAGGAATTGAGTGCAGTGCTGAGATGGAGCTGGAGAAAGTGCGCATGGAGTTTGAGCTCACGCGGCTGCAGTACCTGCACCAGGAGAGTGAGCGCCAGCGGCAGCACGAGGAGGTGATGGAGCAGCTGCGGCAGCAGGCGGCACCCCATCTGGTAGGTGACAGGGAAGCAGGGGAGCTCCACGGGCCCCCTGGAGGGCCAAGGGCCAGGGGCGAAGGGGGCCTCCGTCTCTGAAGCCCACCCTACCTGCCTCACTGCTGCACCCCGCCCCAGTCCAGAGCTGGCACTCACTGCCTCAGAGCTCCCATGCTGAGCTGGGACTTGACCCTGCCCTGGAAGGGCTCTGCATCATCCACCCACCAGCCCCTGGCTTTCCTTCTCAGGGAAAAGTCTTCAATGTTTTCTCTAGGGCTGGATTGCCACCATTCTCCATTCCTCTCTGCATCTCTTCTAAGAGATGTGTCCTTAGGCTTGACCCAGCACCCCTGCTGCAGTCTGGCCAGCAGATTTTGATAAAACCATCCCCTCCCCTGATCAGGGCTGCATTTGCTCTGTTGCATCGCTCTGCCTTGTTGTCAACTAAAACTTAGACATCTTTTTAGCAAGAAGTGGACCATTCTCCCCTACTCTGTACTAAGAGGGGACGATTAAATGGGATGTGAAGTGCTCAGCACTGTAACTGGGCCACCATTAGCCTAAATAATGAAAGAGGTTATTATTTAAAGCAATGTCCTCTGGGCTTTAAAGTCAGACAGCTGGGGGTTAAAATCCTGGCTCTACCACACAGAAACGGCACGACACTGAGCAAGTTTCAGAGCCCAGGCTTACTCCCCCGGCAGGCGGTGCCTGTCCCCTAGGGTCACTGCGAGAACTGGACGAGAGAACGTGTGCAAGGCACTCCGCAGTGGGCCTGGCACACTAGGCGAGCACTCGATAAGTGTTAGCTATTGTCATTTTTATGCACTCATGTGACTCCCTTCTTGACCCAAATGCAACAACTCGTGTTCATCATTTTTCAATTTTATTGAAATATAATGTATGAGCTATGCTTCCCAGCTCTGAGTCATCCTCAGTTCTGAGAAATTGGCCTTCTGTCTTTGTCCAAGTCATTGCTGTAACTGCTGAGGAGGATATGACCTAAAGAAAATACCGTTAAAAGATCTCCCTACAGGTTAGCTGTGTGCTGTTCATCACCGCCCTCGTGCTGCATTTCAGCCAGCTCACATTTCTCTGCTTTGTCCAAAAAACTACCCCGAGACACACTGTCAGATGACTTCCTGGCATTAACATATTTTACTACCTTTAACATTTCCCCAGTGGACTGGTCAGTATTTTTGTAAGAAAATGGGGTTGGTTTTGCATGATTTGCTCTCAACAAACAAACACTGGCTGCTTAGCAATTATTTTTTTTTCTTGCTCACAAAATACCTCCTTAATTATGCACTAAATGATTTTGCTGAGCCAAGTCAAGCTAATTGAATGGGGATTTCTAGAATCCATCTTTTTTTTTCTCTCTCTCTCCCTCTTTTTAAAAATCTACAAAAGATTTGCCTGTCTCTAAGATTCTGGCCCATTTGTTGATATTTTTGACACATCACAAATAAGTTCCATTTCCAAACGTGTGGTTTTACCCTCAGGATCCCCAGATGACACCTGTTCAGGTTGAAGCCCCACACAGCGGACAGCAGGTGTCCGTGGCACTGTGCCTCTGGCTGGCGTCTCTTCCTCGCCAGACTCATTTTCACTTCTGAGTTTAAACACGTCCCACCTTGCTGGATGAGGTGGAGGCCCTTGCTGTAGCGTGCTCTCTGCTTTCTGTCATCTACTTGGAAGTCAGGCCATTGAAAGTATTTTTCAAAGTCTAAAAGGTTTCACAAATGCATGTTCTGTTATTAAAATCACACACAGCACCCACCAGCACTTCAGACTGAAAACACGTGCAGATGACAGAAGGGGGCAGGAAGGCAAGTCCCGGGGCCCAGAGCCGCCCGGAGGCTGCAGAGAAACAGGTCTGCCCGGCACCCCCATGGCACCAGAGCACCAGGACTCTCCCTCTGGTCCCCACCTTCCCTGCCATTCATTCTGGAATTGGCACCGCTGGAGTCATCTCTTCTGCCTCACTTTGACTTGGCTGCCCTCGCATTTTATGGAGCAGTTTCCACAAGGCTGTGTCCAAAACCCCAGTCTCCAGTGACAGTTCACAAGTGTTTGGCTGAATGCTGGGGAGCTAACTTTCTGTTTAAACTTCTCTCCACTCTCTGCTTTTCTGGGTGGGTGCGTGGGTAGATACATTTCATTGTATTGAAAAAACACCTCTGTGAGCGTGTTTCTAGCTAGTTTAGGGACTCACAGTCCCTGCCATTGGCCTGCTTACAAAAAAATGTGGCATGATTTTAGGAGACATTTTAAAGAAGAAACCATGGGTGGCATCTTACCAGCTTTTGCCTTACTTACAAGTCAATGCTTCCTACAGTCAGAATGGGCTCTGTCAAGCCTCAGTTACACAGGTTGTGGAAAAGAACAACACACAGGCAGAGTCAGCCAGGCAACCCAAGATGTGCCACCCCCATGGCCAAGACTCTGAGGGTTTAGGGAGGTCCCGCCATCAGCCAATCAGATTCCTCTCACCTGTCCTCGGGAGACACCAAACCTGAGCTGAAGGACCACAGACTGACCCCATGTGACAGGGACCAGGACCGAGGCAGTGCCCAGGGGACACCCTCTCATGGGGCTACTGTCCAGAAAACAGGCACTAAGTGTCAGGGCAAACCACCGGAGAGCACACCAAGGCCTGGCCTCCAGCTCCAGGACCTCAGGACAGACAAGACTGCCTGCCTGTGTGGCTCGGAAGCTGGGGAAGCAGAGAGGGGAAGCCGAGTCGGGGACAGGAGCAGACTCAAGAAGTAAACGCCCAGGAGTGCCCTCTCCGTGCCAGAGACTTCGCTCAGAATTTCTGATTTCTTGCCTCTCCCTCCTCATGATCTTGTGAGGTGAGCACCATTATCCCTCCCTTAGGTGAGGAAGATGACTGGCCAGCGGTCATATTCAGGAAGACACAAGAGCAGATTGCAGCCCTGGCTGGTGTGGCTCAGTGGACTGAGTGCCAGCCTGCAAACCAAAGGGTCACTGGTTCAATTCCCAGTCAGGGCACATGCCTGGGTTGCCAGCCAGATCTCTGGTGAGGGGCACTTGAGAGGCAGCCGCACATTGATAATTCTCTTCCTCCCTCTCTCTCTAAAAACAAATAAATAAAAATCTTTATTTAAGAAAAAGCAGATTGCAGCACAGCTCTGCCTGGTGCCCATGCCCTGGTTTTGCCAGCTCCACTCTCTTCTCTCCCCCACAGTTCTCAGGAGGCCTCCAGGACCTCCTGCACCCCCAGAACCAGTTTGCCCTGTTCCTGTACTGCTTCATCTTTATACACATAATCTATGTCACCAAGGAGATGATCTTCTTTCTCTTCTCCAAGCACTACCTGTTCTGCATCGCAGCCATTTTGCTTTGTTTGATTAAAACTTTATGGTCATAGGTCTAAGTGTCTTTGTTTTCTCCGTCACTGGGGACCTCCATGCTAGAGTGTTATTGGGACCTGACCCACGATGGCCTGAGCTACCCTGCCTCCTCGTTCCCTGGCACCTCCTCCCCTAACGTGGTGCCTCCCTGCAATCAGAACTTGATGTTAGAAACAGCTTGCTGTCAGCCTTTTACACCACAGTGTGAGTGACACCAGTGGCTGGGCCTGAGCAGCACTATATCCAGTCAGTGACACAGAGTTGGAGCCGCCCTCGGGCCATGCACAGTTCAAAGAGAGAAATGCTGAAGCTCGGGGAGCCCTGGACAAGCCCGTCAGAATCTGACTGGCAAAGGGTGTCCCTGGGCAGTACATGCCTGGGTGAGGCCAGGCAGCAAAATCTGGGCATCCTCCTGGGGGCACTGGGAAGGAAGAACTGAACACCTGATTGGGCCCAAAGCAAATCAGCAAGGCTGCTGTAGTGGAAAAGTGGGAGGAGAAATAAAAGAGCCCACACAACCCTCAAATCACACAGACGAGAGAGACAGACAGAGAGAGAGAGAGAGAGAGAGAGCACAGTAAATAAACAGTTGTCCACAACAGAGTTGTACACACCTCCCCCACCCCACCCCTAAGTACATGGACAACCATGACCTAAAGAACAGACTTTAAACACTAGAGGGCTCACGGGAGGCACAAAATGGAACTGCAGCCCTGAGCGGTGTGGCTCAGTGGGCTGGACATAGTCCCACACACCAAGTGGTCGCAGGTTGAATTCTCGGTGGGGCACATGCCTGCATTGCAGCCCGGTCCCCAGCTGGGGGCGTGCTAGAGGCAACTGACTGATGTTTCACACATCAATATTTCGCTCCCCCTCTCCCTCTCTTCCCCTCTCTCTAAAAATAAATACTTTTTTTTTAAATGAAGCTGCCAGGTGCACATGGAACAAGGAAAAGTATTTCAACTCCCCCATGGCCAGCCCCTACCCCACCCCGTCTCCATCACACACACCCTTAGCCCACTGGCAGCTGCACTGACCCCAGCAGCCCCGCCCAGGAGCACGGCTGGCCCCGGCCAAGGTACAGGAGCCTGCAGGGATAAGGCCGAAAACCGGATGAGGCTGGACAGCTGCATGATCAGTCAAGTTTTTAGGAAGCCCTCCCCTTCCCAGGCGCAGGGGTCTGCCTCAAGAGGGACAAAAGGGTAAGTTTCTGTCTGGGGCTGTCTAAGTGATGATGCTGAGGGAAAAAGACAATGAAAAAGGACGGCCTCCCCGGGATTCAACGTCAGAACGTATTACCTGCCAGCTAAGTCTGTGGTGAGCCCTCATCTCCCCCTCGATGCAGTACGACCACCCCCATTTGTAGAACACACCAAGTGCTATTTATAGCTGCATGCGAAGGGTTACTTGGAAGTAATAAAGCCATCATTTCTCATTAAATGCTCAGTAATAGGGTTTTCGCTGTGGGTCACTGCTCACGACCATTTTATTTGATCTGGGCTTCTGGGGTGGGCTTGAGGCAAAAGAAGGAGAACAGGATATCAGTGTTTAAAAACAAAACAAAACGGATGTTTACCTTGTTATCACAGACGGAATTGGGAGTTTGTAAAAAATACCAAGTACTATACGGTCATTTGGTCCATCACGTGTTGCCAGGTAAAACTGGGCTTTAATAGATTCGTTTTCCTTACAAATCTTCAGAGAAAGCCTTAGTTAACACTCTTGAACAGTTAGCACCTCAGCTCACCCCTTAGCAATGGGCGTGAAATCTCCCCTCTGTGCCTCCTACTGTGATCTCCCGCCGTGATTAAACAGCCAGCAGCCAGGATCTTTCTTCTGGGAAGATAAGAACAGCTCAAAATGGTACAGATCTCCCAGTTCACATGCAAAGCAGAAAACCGGAAGGGAGAGAGACAAAGGTGCAGAGAGAAGCAAAGGATGGGAAAAGGCACAGCTGAGGATTCACCAAGCAGACTACCAGTCAACACACAAACACTTCTTGAGCCCCTCCAGTGTGGGAGGCACGTCACTAAATGCTTTGCGGAGAAGATGTCTTCACCAGAGCCCTGGGAGGTAGGCAGGCTCAGAGGGGTTAGGTGATATGCCCAAGACCATCCTAGCTGTCAAGTCTGACTCCCAAGTGACTTAGTGGACCTCACAGCCTTGCTGGGGACGTGAGGCCATGGCACATGAAAACGTAAAGGTGCTATCAGTCAGCGGTGAAGGAGATCCAAGAAGAGAGGTCCCTGGAGCCCAGGATGGTGGGATGTCTTCTCAAAAGTGTCCATGAGGGTGGGTGAGCTCGAGACAGGCGGAAAGGAAGTGGGAGAACTCACATGAACTGAGATCAGGAATGTGTATGCTGTATTCAGGAGGAAGGGAAGACTCGTGGTTGCTCCAATGAATGGTGTAAACTAAGTGTAACAGGCCTGGAAAATTAATTTGGAACCCAATTTTATAGTCCTAAACATTGGTCTGAGGAATTATGAACTCAGTCCCTTGGGAAATAGAAAATCCCTGAAAATTGTAGTGAGATAGTGACCACCCCAACGATGGGGGGAAGCCCCCTTTCCCTCTCTCTCAGGGGACCATGTTCTTGCCTTGAGCTTTTCTTCCCATTTCCAGTTCAGGAACATTCTTCCTAAGGTCCTGTGTGTGATGGTTGCATCCACTGTAAAAGAAACCTAGCCACAGTGGCTTCACAAAATAAAGGTTTACGACCCTCACATACTAGTAAGTCCCAGGTAAGGCAGTCCATGACTGATGAAACTGTTCTAGGAAGTCATGGAAGACTCAGGCTTCTTTTTGCTCCACTATCCTTAGCACACAGCTTTTATCCTCCTTACTCCATGGCTTTCAGCCTCATGATCTCAAGATGGCTGCTGCAGCTCCAGGCATCAGGTCCACAATTCCAACTCAGAAGGGGTGGGAGGGGGAGGGGGCATGCAGAGAGGAACCACCTTGTAACAGCTTTTCAGAAAGACTCACCTAGAGATTTCTGCTTACATCTCATTGCCCAGACTGGTCATGTGGCTGCTGCTAGCTGCAGGGTATCTGAGGTGGTAAGGGTTTTTTTTCTGTTTGTTTGTTTGTTTGTTTGTTTTGTCTGGACATTGTCGCAGTATTGAACAAAATTGGGATTCTGACAGTATGGAGGAAGGAGAGGTGGATATTGAATAAATGACTGTGCCTAGCATACCCTGCTTTTTTCAGGCCTGGCCCCCACCCCCCTCCCCAGAGCTGAGCCAGAGTTACGCTGGAGGCTGAGACAATTGGGTGGAGCACAGCTGCAGCCAATCTGGGCCTGGCCCACTTCTGTCTTAAGGCCTCATTCGCATACCACAGCAGGAAGGTCATGGTTTTGTCTGGGCACGTGACTGGAACAGCTCTGCCTTCATCCTCCTGACCTCTGCCTGAGGCCCCATGACCTTACACAACCAGGGCAGCAGCCCGGCCTGGGGACTTGGAAGGGCATGCCCCTCTGTGCGGGGCACCTTCAGCAAAGACACAAGAGAAGGCAAGTTTGCCCCTAGGTCCTTCTCCTTCCTGTGTCCCAGATCCCACAGAACAAAGCCAGTGCCCCTGACATCTCGACCTCGTGCCTGGCAGCCCACGCACACGGCCAAGCAAGAGGGGACGGGCCACGTCTGTTTCTAATCCCACCTTAGCAGACGACTGGCTGTAGCAAGCCAGGTCAGCTTTCTAGGCTTCACTTGGGTGACCTATGAGTTATCCAGACTCTAACTCAGTTTTTAAAAAACGTAAAAAGAACCAAAGCCTAGGGTTGGGTTTAATTGATCTGAGACGGTGTCCAGGGGGGTTGGTGGACTTGAAAGCGCCCCACTGGTTGCAATGGGCAGCCACACTACAAAACCTAAATCCTCGCTGCTCAACGTGCCATCTGAGGACCAGCTGCATCTCCTGGGGTGTCTTGGAAAGTCTGGAAGCTCTCTGTTGGAAGTGATGTGACTCAATTCCACCACTGCCTTGTGGTGGGGACGTTGCTCTTGGCCTGGAGGGTCTGCGAGAGGGAGGCTGCAAGATGGCAAGGGAGGGGAGGGTAACCGAGCACCCTGTCCTCCCTTGGGTGCCAGGGAGGCCCTGGAAGTGCCATGGGAGCCTCCGAGAGTGCAGGGCCCAGCCCAGGGTGGGGTGCATCAGGCCTCCCTCTGTGCTGTTTGCGGGTCCTTGCTCTGGCCTTCTGAGGAACCAAAGGATTTTCCCCAGCGCTCCAGGATTCATCAGAAACTTCCAAATCTCCCCAGGCCTGTCTCCGCCTCTGATGTGTGTAGCTTTGGGGAGATCTTGCTAATATACGTTTATTCATTATTTAAAGGCTTGCCACTGTTTCTTCAGGAAGGTTAAGCATGATTAAAAGATGGGATTTTTCCACAGGGCACAGCAGAAAAGCTGGGGCTCCCGCATTTTTAAGCTGTTTTGGCCAAGCCTTGTTGCATAATTTAAAGTCCGTGACTTGTGTAGACTTAATTAGCCCAAGGAGCAGCAGCTGCAGGTTCATTAGTTAGTATTTATTAAGCGCCCTCAGAGGGCTTGGTCGGCTTTTAAGAGGAAAGTGGAGAATCAGCTTCGGACTTGCAAATTTCCTACACTTAAGTAGGAGGGGGTTATAGATGTGTCAGGAGGCAGGCATTTTTGTCCTCAAGGGGAACCAAGGGGTGGCATCAAAGGGCCTGGAGTCATGAAGCAAATCCCCACAAGCGCCCTTCTCCTCAGCAGAGAGTGAGTGATACCACCTTGCAGGGCTGTGGTGACAGGTGAATACGATAAGGGAGTGTGCTCACTGTAAATGTGAAAATAGACAAGTCACAGGTGTTAGTGAGCGGTGAACGAGGGAGGTGTAGGGACTGCCCACCTGACGCTGAGGACTGGGAGAAGCAGAGAGGGCCAGTTCCAGGATTCACGGGGCCCAGTGCAAAAGGACAATGCAGGTGTTCAGGAATATTAAGAATTTCAAGGTGCTGACAGCAGAGCCTGAAACCAAGTGTGTCCCCACCTC